GTTTGGAGAGGAAGGGAAAGGTCTTGTGCAAGAATCAAGAAGCCCATGAACAGGAGCGGTGAAAGGAAACTGGTTTGGTAGTGGAGGAGGAGAAAGGGGTCTGTTGCCAAGAAAGGGAAGAGTCTCCTGTGTTCAGTGCACAAATACCAGTGCTCAAACTCTTATTAGCCAAAGAGTAGGAAATACCCACAGAAATAAGGGATACTCCCTTGTTTCCCCTTCCCAGTCTCGCATTGTGGCCCTCCCTAAATCAGTCTGCTGTCCACTTACCCTCAAGGAGGTCGTAGTTTCATCTAGGTTTTCTCTTCTCATGCAATAAGAGAACAGCTTCTAATCCTTTAGAGAAGGGTACATTGTTATTTTGTTTAACTGCTCTAACCTCAGGTACTGGAATTATCTACAAGGGTACCTAATTCATGTTAAGAGATGCAATCTATTTGACTGCAGACAGGGGCCCTGCTTAGGGCAGAGATAAGGAGAGTTTGGGACACAGATGTGATGACTCTGACAACTTTCTGTGTTCTGCCCAGCATCCCTCTACAGGTTTGGGGGGTTCCCCCACCCTTTAACACTCCTATCAGGTTTCAGACAACATGGCCATGCTAGTGTCCTAATCCATTTGAATTAATTTAGGAGGTCATAAGACTTCTAAGTGTTTCCTGGAAAATAAACAAAAGCTGCTTTTAATTTATAATTTTTGCTTCTTGGATATTCAGACTCTTCCCTCTCTCTACCCCCTCACCCTAAACCATTTCATTAATGATAGAAATACCTCATGGATCAGGCTGTTCCTTTGAAAAAACTGTTGCCATTTGTCTTCAATCCTGTGTTCACTAGAACTCCCTCTAAAAATAGGCATGCTCTTCAATAAGACCCAACGTATTGTGTGAGTCCTAGACCTGTGAATTTGTGTTCCCTTACTAGCTTATCAAAACACAGTTTCTTAAGATTTTGATTCCTGCTTGTCAAAATGTTTCCCCATCATTATATTTTAAAAGAAAATAATTGTTTGTATTTTAGTTTGTGTTTTTTTTCTTTGTATAACTAGTTTATTGTGCCTGCCTATAGCTAGGGACAGGCATTCAGAAAGCTGGAGCCTGAATTCGTTAAGCCTTTGCAGGTTAGTTTAACCCAGGGTGGGCAAAATGTGGCCCATGGGCCAGATGCAACCTACCAAACCATCCTATCTGGCCCATGAAGCCCCTAAAAAATTTAGAAAATAAATATTTATCTGCCCCTGGCTGCCTGTCATGCAGCCCTCGATGGCTTGCCAAAACTCAGTAAGCAGCCCTCCGCCCAAAATAATTGCCCGCCCCTGGAACCTGGCTAGGCTGAATCAGTTTGTAGCTTCACAGACATGTGAGTACATGCCTGTAGTTGCTCAGGCCAGGAGCCAGGGGCACTAGAGTGACCCTCGGCTACAGAAAAGCTGTGCTGCAGTGGGGCCAGTCGGCTGAACTGGCCAGAGTAGGGTTTCATTCCCCTCACCCCGTCCCGCTGGCAGGGACCTGAGCTTGGTCTGCTGGGTGCCCCTTCCTTGCTGCTGCAGTCACGGGCCAATGTGGCTTCTGATGCAGAGGGGCAGGGAGGGGGGTTTATTCTCTCCTTCACCCGTACTGCCCCTGGGAGATTGTAGTTGGTTCTGCTTAACCTGACCACCACTGAGTGGCAGAATGAGCCCCCTCCTGACCCCTCTAGTGGATGCCAGAGAGAGGGGGAGTAACCCTGGTCTCTGTCCACCCGAAGGGCCCTGCCAGCTTGTGTTTGGCCCAGAGGTGTGGGTTGGCTGGGAAGCAGGCTTCCCGGGCCAGCTCGGAGGTGATGGTAGACCCCAAGTCCGCTGTGTCCTATGCCCTGTAGAGCACCCAGGGCTGCAGCCTAACTAGCAGCTGTGGGTTGGACATGGTGTGGGGCTGTTCTACTCCCTCATCTGCAGCTGCTGCTGTGCCACTGGGGTGGGGGGGCAGGAAGCTTCTGCCCCACACGTGGAGCTCTGGCTGCAGCCCCCAGATAGCCTTGGAAGGCGGAACATGCCCAGGTGGAAGGCTTCAGTCCGGCGGCTGCAGCTAGAGCTCCACACGCAGGGCAAGCTGCAGGGCTGAAGCTCCCCCCCTGCTGCCTTCAGGAGTGGCAGGAATGGGAGGGGGAGTCGTCATGGCAGGCAAAGGGAAGCTGTCTTGGCTTGGCAGGGCTTTATCCCCTTGCCTCCAGCTGCAGCTCATGCCACACCCAGCAATGGCACTTGGGGCTGGAGGAGATCTCTTCAGTCTGGTGGAAGAGCTGGTGGGCCCGGAGCCTGGTAGCACCCACCGTGGCCTCTGAGCCAGCCTGGCTAGCAGCCCCCAGCCATGAGCCGGGCTGGGCTGGGCTGTGCTCGCTGACGGGGCTCAATGTCCCTGTCACTGAGCCTCAGCTGCTGGGGGTGGCCCCACCCCCGTGGCCTGGCCCGGCCATACCGTGTGCTGCTTCACCCAGGGGTGAGCAAGGCCGGTCCAGGCTGCGGGAACAGGGTCACCCCCAGCAGCTGCGGCCCCATCACAGCTGCTCCCTGGGCCCCGGCTGAGCCAATCTGGGACATGCCACACAGAGCCCCCTCCTAGTGGGGGTGGCAGGAGGAGGAGGGGAATGAGTCCCCCCTGGCACTGAACAGAGCCCCCCTCTCTGCCCCATGGGGTGGAAGCGGGGGGATGAGTGGGGGGAAGAGTCCCCCTCTGGGGCTGGGTAGTCTTGCAGAGCCCCCTTTCCTGCCCCCTGGCAGGGGAGGGAGAAGGAGGAAGAGCCCTTCACCTGCCAACACTGAACAGAGCCCCCTGCCCTGCTGTGGGAGTGGGGGAAGATTCCCCCCCCCAGAACAGAACAGAACAGAACCCCAACATGGCCCTGTTAAGGTGAAGGTGGCAGGAGGAAGGGTTAATTCTTCCCTTTGTCCCATCTGCCCTGAAGCTAGGTTCTGCCAGCCCCAGCAGCCACTGCTACAGCCCCCTCCCGCTGCTCCCTGGCAAACAGACTCTTCCCTCCTTCCTCTCCTGCTGCAGAGGGGGAGGAGAGGAGGGAGGAAAGAATCAACCCCCTCTCTGCCCACTTTGCCTTGATGAGGCCATACCTGCTATTGTCTCCATTAGGGTCAGTCCCTGCTCCAGCTAGAGAGCAGAGGAGTGGGGTCAACCCTGCTGTGGAGCAGAGAGCCCTGCCCAGGCAAGAGAGCATGTCAAGATGCTGGAGGAGTCTGGTTTAACTTAAACCAGGAAGGGGTATGGGACAGACAATACATAAACTGGTTTGAGCCAAATCAGTTAAGCCTGATACTGCCTTCAACCAGGTTTATTTCAGACTGGTTTCAGACATTTTAAAACAGGTTTATGTGCACTGAATGTGTGTTCTGTTATAGGTTTAAACCAGTTTCTGATCACTTAAACCGGTTTATGTGTAATGTCTGCCCCTAGCCCATGGGTTTTAATAAGCTGCCTTCCTTTCCAAGTCCACATTTGTCTTGTAGCTTTTTCAGAAATGGATGCTTGATGTCAGGCTCTTCAATCTTTATTTAGGCTTCACAGCAAGAGGCCTGATTTTCAAATAATTGAAGTGGCCAGGAGCTCCCAGTGATTCCCTTTATTTCATTGGGAGCTGCTGGCTGCTTAACTTGAGTTTGTTCAGAAGGTAAAATCTCTCCATCGTATGTGGAGAGAGGGATATGTATTTTGATTCATATGCTTGTATTTACATGGCGTACAAAACAGACATTGGGACTATTTGAAAAGACCTTAAGATTTTCTAAGTATCATCATTTCAGCCGACATCTTTAATTACATGATAATGTTTGCATTTAGACATTGGCAAAAATATCCCTATCTTTTATGGAAGCAGGATGGAGCCTTAATTCAGACAAAATAAAGCTTAGCTGTCTGCCTTTAATTTTGGAATAAATTGCTTTGCCAGGAGGAAATAAAACATGCAAAAGGCCCAGTTGGTCTTCTTTCTTAAGATGTTTTTGAATTGGAGCAAATGTGTACTGTCCTAGATGCCTAAGAAAGTGTGAAACTTAGTGTGAATGTCCAAACTAGGGCTTCTTTGAAACTGTACATTGTCAAACTGGCTTTGGCTAAGAAGTATAAGTACTGATCATGATCACCTCCTGAACTAAGGGCCACTTCTAATATTACCTGTGTAAGATTGTTTTCCGTCATTCCAGGTAGCCAGGGAGTTAGTGTGGAATGAAGAACATGTTCAGTTGGACATTATCTGTTAGTTACCAAGAACAGTTGGTTATTAGCTTTTGCAAGGTGGCTCTTCCTTTCTCTTAGGTAGATATGGGAGATTTCATAGTTTCATAGTTTCTAGGGTCGGAAGGGACCTGAGTAGATCATCTAGTCGGACCCCCTGCCATGGCAGGAAAGACTACTGGGGTCAAACGACCCTAGCAAGGTGTTGATCTAACCTCCTCTTAAAGACCCCCAGGGTAGGAGCCAGCACCACTTTTCTTGGAAGTTGGTTCCAGATCCTAGCTGCCCTGACTGTGAAGTAGCACCTCCTGATATCTAGCTTAAATCTACCCTCTGCCAGCTTGTGACCATTATTCCTGGTCACTCCTGGCAGTGCTTGGGGGAACAGGGACTTCCCCAGTGCCTGCTAGTCCCCCCTGACTAGTTTGTAACAGGCCACTAGATTCCCCCTCAGCCTTCTCTTGTGGAGGCTGAACAGGTTCAGGTCCCTCAGCCTCTCCTTGTAGGTCCTGCTCTGTTGCCCCCTGACCATGCGAGTGGCCCTCCTCTGGACCCTCTCCATGTTGTCCGCATCCCTCTTGAAGTGCGGCGCCCAGAACTGGATGCAGTACTCCAGCTGCGGCCCGTCCAGTGCCGCGTAGAGGGGGAGGATCAC